ATAAACAAAACTTACAATTTCTAACTATCGCATTTGACGGCATATAAAGCCCATTTTTTTTTTTTACTAAACATATCTTTTAACATTCCCCTGTATCTTATATATGTAGGTTTACTAATTTTTCCAATTTTTGTTTGAAACAACAGATTAAATTTTATATACACAATTTACAATTCTTTGTAATGATGTGTGCAAAAGTATAGAGGAAAAGTTCTTTGCTGTTTCGGATATGTTCAATGTCTAAAAAGTTGTCTGCTTTTGATTGAAAGGTTGAATTTAACTTAGACAAAAGATTTTTCTATGAAAGATATTAAGTGAAAAAGTTTGTTGCATGAATTTTTCCAATCTCTCATAAAGAAAGTTTGTTTCTTTGGCGGCAATTTTGACACACAATTCCCGTGTCTATCTTTGCGTGTGTGAGTCTCAAAATGCGACAAAAATTCGTTTGCTGTTTCTATTTATAGTTTTTTTTAATAACAAAATCTGCTCCAGCGACTTGGTAACTTTGAATTTTTCTGAGAAATGCGTGGGCGAATGTTGTATTCTTTTACTTTTTAGCCAATAGGATTTCTTGAAATATTTATATTAGGGATGAATTTGAGAAAGATTTTTTTATGTCAGTTGAGCCTATTTTTGCACAAATTTTGACTGTTTTGTTATGGAAATTTCTCGAAGCTTATTTTTATTTAACAACCAATGAAATTCAAGAAAATGTTTGAAAATGAAATGAGGGTTACTAAAGGTACGCCCAAATCATTGCGCACCTTCGACACTTAAAAAATGAAAATAAGAGTACAATGCTACCTGTTTGAAAAAAATTGCCAAAATCAGGGAATTGTTGGATATCATTGAACTTTTGAGCATTTATTCATTAATGAACGAAATTTGTATTGAATTTTTTTTTTTAATTTCATGGAAGTATTTTTTCGGATTATTTATCACTCCACACCTTATTTAACTGCTGGTTAATCCGTACTAATAAATTTTGGATGTTTCTAATTTTTATAAAGCTAAATCCTCGGAGCCAGACAGGCCCTTGACTTGAATTCACAAGGGAAGCTAAAAGTGGGTCGACCAAAACAGATTTGGCGCAGAAGTATTAACGTAGAAGTGAAGGCATCCCCGGCACGTCATGCGGCGAGCTGAAGAGGATCACCCGGAACCTCGTCCGTTGGAGAGGTGTTGTTGCGGCCCTATGTTCCCCAAGGAATCAAGAGACATAATAATAAAAAGAATATTATATTACTATTAGAAATAAAATATTAAAATTCAGATGCTGCTTTAAATTTTGTGTATTAAAGATGTCACCATGCAGACTCTTGACTGGAATACACAAGAGAAGCGAAAAGTGTGTCGACCAAAACAGATTTATCGCAGAAGTGTTGATGCAGAGGTGAAGGCAGCCTCGGCACGACATGGGCCGAAGTGAGGAGGATCACCCAGAACCGCGTTCTTTAGAGGTGTTGTTGCTGTTCTATGTTTCCCAAGAAATCAAGAGACAAGAGAGAAACGGAAATGGGGACGGATTGGCCACACACGCCATAAGCCTGCTTCTAGTGTTACCAGACAGGCCCTGGACTGGAATCCACAAGGGAAGCGAACAGTGAGTCGACCAAAACAGACGTGGCGCAGAAATGTAGACGCAGAGGTGAAGGCACCCGGCACGAAATGGGCCAAGCTGAAGAGGATCGCCCGGAACCTCGTCCGTTGGAGAGGTGTTGTTGAATCAATGAATCATACTAAAGAAATAATAAAATTCTCTTATTACAGCTTGCATATTTATTGACCATTGAAAACCCCTTTCTTCCTTTCCGACGCTCCACAAGTTTGTATCTGTTATCAATAACACATTTTTAAAAAAACATATTTCGATCCGCATTATATTTTTTCGTCTCGGATACTACCTGAATTTTACCAAAAATAAAATAATTTCCATGCCTGAAGATGACTGAATGTACAGTCGAAAGTACTCGCGTTTTTAAGGAAGACCTCATACAGCTTAGAATTTAAAAAAAAAAAAACAAGGATCATAACATTCATCTAGTGATTAGTAGGTTAATGAATCTTTAAAATTTTGTTTGCGAAGGTATTTCGCCATTTTATATCATTAACTTTACTAATCTACTTTTTGTATGAATGATTCATTGTAATATAAATTGGACTGCACCACATATTTGATTTAAAAAAAACTGATCCGACGTGCAAATTTTCGGGATAACAACTGAGACATTACTCTATTTATTGAACAATTTAGTTCATACCACATAAACTATCGTCCTATTAGTCTCTTACCTATCTTAGCAAATTATTAGAAGCTCTAATCAACGCCGAATTGGTAAAGCGTCTGACTTCACACGACCTCCTTTCCAATAAACGATATGGCTTCTGTTTCTCCAGATCTATTGCCGAAGTTCCTGAATTTGTTTATCAAAAAAATTTGTTGTTTATCAAATTTGTTTATGAGAACGGCGAAGTTCGGTCTGTGGCCCTAGATATATCAAAAGCGTTTTACAGGATTTGGAATGTTAGCCTTGTCCACAAGCACCAGGACTATGGTGTCTATGAACGAATATTCTGCTTAATCCAATCGTTTCTGACAAATCATGTAATGAAGGTCGTGTTGAATGGACACGCTTATATTTAATTTCATACCAATGCAGTGGATTCCCAGGGCAATATCCTTGGACCCACGCTGTTTTTAATTTTCATCAACGACCTATCTGATACAATCAGTTCCAAAGTAGGCATCTATGCTGATGACACAACCACGTACTCCGGTCTTAGTAGCAAGTCTGGCAGATCTGACAAAGTAAAACTGGCAACTGCTCTCGAAAATGACTTTCAATCAGTGGTTAACTGTGGCAAGTAATGGCATGTATTAGGCGTGCTACTAGATTGGTAATTAGGTCTGATCATTTTTCTATTGAACTTGCTAGACCAACCCAAGGTAGAGGATTACTGAAGGCAGCTTTTGTGTAAGCGCAAGAGTAAGGGTCGTAGTTTACGTGCCTATGTGGAAAGGATAACGATTAAACCTAGACGAAGAGGTTAATATTGTATGGGTGGGGAAAGCATCCACTTGGGATTCTACTCCACAAACCAAGAGTTCTTGGGAAGAAGCTATCCTAGTAGAATTTCCCCTTACTAAAAGAACACAAAGGGAAATGAGGATGGTTGGTATAAATGTGCTTGGCGTGACGGGTGTAGGGGTTGACGGAACGTAACTCGTTCGAGCATTTTCCATGAAAATAGCGATAGACTATCAAGAGGCTTACAAAGTAAGCAGTAATATTCTAATAGTTTCTATTCACGCCTGCAGTAAATTTGAAACGCAATGTTACTGGTTTTGACCTGGCATCTTGGCTTCAGTCAGTTTCCTCCTAATGTCACATAACTTCCGTGTTCCTTTTCTATAAATAACTTCATAGTTTGTGTTCTGATGAGCTTTTCTCTTCGGTACCTAGACTTTATAAATTTAAACGCGGTAGTAGATTGGCAAAACGATCTCATCATATTACAGTTGAAATTGCTAGACGTAATTGTAAGTTCTATGCAAACAGTTTCTTCTATCGCACTCCTCGCTTGTCGAACTCGCTTTCGGCTTTTTGCTTCCCAGTCAACTTTGATAATTAAAAAATTTAAATGCAATGCCAATCGTTATCTTCCGTCTTTTTAATGCTTGTTCTTTCATTGTCCTCTCTCCTTAATAGTAGTTTTTTCTCATATTCTATAACACTCAGTAGCCTCTTGCGCCATAGTGGCTTTATTGCCTTAGATCTTCAAAAATGTAAATGCAATGTCCATTGTTATCTTCTGTCTTCTTAATTCTTGTTCTTTCATTGTCCTCTCACCTTAATATTAGTTTTTCTCATATTCTCTAACACTCAGTAACCTTTTGCGACCTAGTGGCTTTATCGCCTTAGATCATCAAAAATGTAAATGCAATGTCAATCGTAATCTTCTTAATTCTTGTACTTTCATTGTCTTCTCTCCTTAATAGTAGTTTTTTTCTCATATTCTCTAACACTCAGTAACCTCTTGCGCCCTAGTGGCTTTATTCCTATTGTGAAAAGATTAAGAAAAACCATTTCGCTCATGACAAAAGAAGAAGTGACATGAGCATTTCTTTTTGAAGACAGAATAATAAGAATCCAGAAGGGAAAGCAATTTTTTGGCTGCCACGTGAGAAGCATACGTAAAAAAAGAACTGAAACCAATGAATAAAACGGTCCTAAAAAAGATAAATTGTAAAAAAAGTTCCTCTGACAACAGCGGTTTGAAATTGTCAAAGTTACCTTCGTTCTGTGATTTCTTTTGTCTTTCTATTAGATGCACCATTTTTTCAAAGAGTATTTTTTTTTACCTTAATCAAAGTTTGTGTTACATTCTCAATTATTTTTCATATTTTTCAAAGATTGTTTTATAAATCTTTTAAGATCATTTATATATTTTTTCGATCTGTTATCCTGCCATGTCCTTTTTTTTAAAAAGGTGCACAAAAAGGAAATTTTGATGCAAGCTTATCTTGCAAAATATTGTAATTTGATACATTCTTTTAATATTTTGTAATGTTTGTTTCTTTTTCACACAATAGTTTCGAGTCGTTTGTTTCTATGCGCCTTTGTTAATGTTCGGAATAAGAGATGAGACATTCTCTCGTTTCCCATTCCCTCCCAGGGAAATTCTTTTACTATATTTATATATTTATGTATATAAGTATTTATATATACTGTGTTGAAAAGTTAGAAAGAATGTGGATGTAATATGGCCACTGAAATGCATTATCGGTAAGGATTTGTCTGATTTTATTGTGATGTCGGTTCATGATATTGTATTTAATTTTACTATTATCAGATAAATGGGAAATTAATCGGCTCGATAATGTAGTGGTTGTGCAGCAGCTTTATGAGTTTAAAGTATTATTGTTAGAGAGAAATTCTCCAATTGAGAAAGCGAACTAATAAACAGCAATGACTTCTTAAAGTTTCGCATATTACCAGCAACACATAAAAAGGCAGCAAAAATCCCCCTATCTATCTATTCATCTATCTATCTATCTATCTATCTATCTATCTATCTATCTAAATCTTTTTCCCCTCTACTATCTATCTATCTATCTATCTATCTATCTATCTATCTATCTATCTATCTATCGAAATCTTTTCTCCTCCACTATCTATCTATCTATCATCGAAAATTTTCCCCCCACCATTCTATCTATCTATCTATCTATCTATCTATCTATCTATCTATCTAAATATTTTCCCCCACTATCATCTATCTATCTATCTATCTATCTATCTATCTATCTATCTATCTATCTATCTATCGAAATCTTTTTCTCCTCCACTATCTATCTATCTATCGAAAATTTTCCCCTCCATCTATCTATCTATCTATCTATCTATCTATCTATCTATCTATCTATCTATCTATCTAAATCTTTTTCCCCCACTATCTATCTATCTATCTATCTATCTATCTATCTATCTATCTATCTATCTATCTATCTATCTAAATCTTTTCCCCCTCTACTATCTATCTATCTATCTATCTATCTATCTATCTATCTATCTATCTATCTATCGAAATCTTTTTCTCCTCCACTATCTATCTATCTATCTATCTAAACCTTAAGAAGTCATTGCTATCTATGGGTTCGCTTGCCCATTTATCTATCTCATGTATACTTTTTTAATTTGTGATTATCTTTTCAATTTATTCTTTCTCTCTGTTCTTTTCCTCCTCCACTATCTATCTATCTATCTATCTATCTATCTATCTATCTATCTATCTATCTATCTATCTGTTATGGATGTAAGAAGGCTGCGTGTATATGTAAAGTTGTGCTGCAAATAAAACATGCAATATCCACAAACAAAAACTTAAATAAAAATCAAATGATAACGATATTCAATCACGACAAAAAAGGATATGTTTGGAACAACAAATATCTTTTTATATGCAGAATATTACAATTTTGTTTTGTAAAGATGTGTGCAAAAGCTTGATCAGAGTATTTTTTAAAGAGAAAAGTTCTTGTTGCTGATTTGGAAATGTTTCGCATGTTTGTAACGTAACTTGGAAAATTTCGTACGTACGTGCATGAGTGAATATGTTTTCATAAGCGTCTGACCGCACATGGTCAAGATGCGAATCCTTTAAGGTTACATTTTCGTAGGCGAATGAAGAAAGAGGGAGAGAACGAACTCGTGTCTACTATTCATAATTAATGTAATCACGTGACAGGCTCCTAGAAAAGTAGCGGGAAAACTTGGTATACTTTTTAATTTGTGATTATCTTTTTTAATATATCTATCTCTCTTTTCTTTTTCCTCCTTCACTATCTATCTATCTATCTATCTATCTATCTATCTATCGAAATCTTTTCCTCCTCCACTATCTATCTATCTATCTATCTGTTGTGTAGGAAACCTACCACCCCTCTTGAAGATGAACTTGTCTACAAACAAAGACGTTAAATAGTCGGAGAAGTTCTTGGCTGAGTTAGTTATAGACTACTCAGGCGATATCTGTACCTACTTACCAACCTAATAAACCCCTTTTTATTGTTACGTGTTATTTGGCGTTTGTCTTTACTAACCCCAAATCAACATCATAACACTATCTATCTAAACCTTTTCCCCCTCCACTATCTATCTATCTATCTATCTATATATATATACTGTGCAGAAAAGTGGAAGAAGGATGCTAGAAAGAACGTGAACGTGATGCGATCACTGAAATGTGGATGACCAGAAGGTGTTGACACGTGATCATTGTGTGTGTGTATGGGGGGGGGCTGCTTCAATAGAGCGAGATTGAAAAGCCACCAAAGAAGCCATGTATACAGTGATTTGAATTGGATTACGTTACATACAGCATTTTTTATTACTATTTTTGGTCCGTACAAGGCCCAAAGGCAACCCAAGGTAGAGGATTACTGAAGGCAGTTTTTGTGTAAGCGTAAGAGTAAGGGTCGTAGTTTACGTGCCTATGTGGAAAGGATAACGATTAAACCTAGACTTGAAGAGGTTAATATTGTATGGGTTGGGAAAGCATCCACTTGGGATTCTACTCCACAAACCAAGAGTTCTTGGGAAGAAGCTATCCTAGTAGAATTTCCCCTTACTAAAAGAACACAAAGGGAGATGAGGATGGTTGGCATAAATGTGCGTGGCTTGACGGGTGTAGGGGTTGACGGAACGTAACTCGTTCGAGCCTTTTCCATGAAAATAGCGATAGACTATCAAGAGGCTTACAAAGTTTCGTCCGTGGGGAAGGGATTGTAAGGTGGAAAACAATTGATAACCTACAAGGCCGTGTAGACGCGTTTGAGAAGAAAATGAAGCTTCCGTCCGGATATGGCAGCAATACTCCATTTTCGGTCCGAACTGGCTTTTGTAAAGGTAGATCATAGCAATAGGAGTCAGGTACAAGGAATCTATCGTCTTTCCAGCATCTATAGCGATGTATCGCATATATAAATGTTCAAGGGAAAGGGGCCTCTGAGAGAAGACCCGTCCATTACGATAGACGGAAATTCAGGGGTTGCTCGGTGAAGATTTTTGAGGTACTGAAAGTGACCAGCCATTTTCCCTCACTGTTTGAACTAGATCAGATGAGAGAACATGATCATTTTTAGATTTGCACCATATACCGTTGTATTATCAGTGTAGATATTCACAAGAGATCGGGGTATACTCTTCGGTAGATAATTAATATAAAGCAGGAAGAGGGGCGAATCGAGAATCGAACATTGGGGGGGTCTGTATTGATCTCATGGGCCTCGGAGGACTGGACATTAAGAATGACCTTCATAGACCTACTTGTTAGGAAGGTCTTGATAATTGAGAAAACTCAACCAGTGATTCCATAGCCGGAGAGCAGGCCCTGTGTTCCAGCTTGTCAAAGGCTTTAAGTCATGAATGTTAGCCGATGTGCTGGAGGTTTGAAATAACATTATAAGAATAGAGAAGCTCCAGTCGCTGGAAGCAATCATTTATTTTAATGTCTGTGCCAGTGTAGGTTTCTTGTCGGTTTGAAAGCTGTGTTGTTTACAGATGAAATCGATTTCGAAGTGCTTCGAGAAATGGCTGTTCTTGAGTGAGAGAGAGAGAGAGAGAGAGATGTTATTAAATATATATATATATATGTGTGTGTGTGTGTGTGATAGAAATTATCAAGAGGATTTGATAATTATAATTAAGTAATTCATCGAGTCTGAAAGAAACCTCAACAGAATGCACTGGACGCCCTATATTTGAGACTCATCAGCAGTGCGCAACCACTACCGAAAATTGAAACCCAGACAGTTAGGTTATCAGGCAAGCGTCATACCAACTGTTCCACCGGGCCTCGGTGACGAAGAGGTAGCAAATCAGACTCAATATAGCGCCGCTTGCTCATATATTCCGTGGTGGAACTCAACTGAGTTTCTCTCTGTGCCCCTACCAAGTCGCTCAAACTTCGGTTCAAGCAATGATATACAAGTGATGGAAATTATTAGGAGGATTTGTTAATTATAATTAAGTAATTTATCGAGTCTAAAAGAAACCTCAACAGAATGCAGAAAGCACTGGACGGCCGTTTCGTCCTATATTTGAGACTCATCGAGAATTGAAACCCTGACAGTTGGGTTATCAGGCAAATGTCATACCAACTGTTCCAACAGTGACGAAGAGGCAGCAAATCAAACTCAATATAGCGCCGCTCGCTCACATATTCCGTGGTGGAACTCAACTGAGTTTCTCTATAACAGTAGGACTGTGCCCCCAGGAGCCACGACTACTATCATCATCATCATCATATATATATATATATATATATATATATATATATATATATATATATATATATATATATATATATATATATATAGAGAGAGAGAGAGAGAGAGAGAGAGAGAGAGAGAGAGTCAAGGTGACGTTAGTTTTATTCACCTTTCTTAAAGGAGATATGAAACCGCTTGCTGATCCTGTAACCAGCTAAAGACAAAAAAGGGAAATAGGCTGGGCTCCGTTGTGACCCTTCATTGTCTGCGCATGCACTAAGTGTTAATGATGTTTTTTGATTGGTCGATATTGTTGTAATTCAAGTTTCAAGTTTCTTTCTGTCTGACACTATTTGTTGTTACCGCGGTAATCATAAAATTTTTTTTTCTTTGAATAGAAGGAACGATATACTGATAGACCCTGATAAATAAGAACGGTTAATACATAAAATCCGTAGGAAAAATTGACGATTTTAATTTTCATATAGACGGCCACCTTAATTGTGTGTCGGGGTTTTGAACAATGGAAAACGCGACAGGCCAAAAGAGCAATAATGATTGACACGTATCACACACAGCTGAAAATACGAGCTGTGAATAGGAAACATTTTTGTAAACAACGAACTTAGAATTAATCTTTCCTGGTCTGGAGTTGGCTGAAGTGGCAGGCGCAGATGAAACACCAAGGAGAGTGGAGGAACCACGCACGCTCACTGAAGAGGTTCAATGGGAGATGATAATATGAGAAATTAGAAGTTATTAGGCGGAGTGATTGCCTGCAACCATCACCCGTGGAAGAAGGGAATTCCTCAAAATTATGCCTTGTGCCGAACTTTACCAAATCAGCAAAACAAACTTTACCAAGTCAACAAGAATGTCACTTCCGATTTAGACGCGGATTGGGCTGATAATTATTTGAATGCGAACTCTTGATATAACTAATTATTGTACGAAGAACTGATAAAAAAACAGTATTTCCCCTTTTTTTCCAATTTATTCAAGTGCTATTTTGCTTTGCGTCTTTGCCCTGCTTGGAGCAGTCCGATACGAAAATACCTACGATCTTGGCCTCCTTATGATCAAATCAAATCATAATGTGGGATAAGGCAGGTCCGGGATAGAAGCGATCTGCATCAATCAGCCGCGGTACTGGAAGTCTTGGACGACCAGGGAGGGTGTATGGCGACATCTTTGCTGAGGTGTCTCTTGGCAGTTTTGTTTGGTTATTTTCCTTGCTATGTTGTGACAATTATGCAGAGGTTACGAATTAAGGAAAGAAAAGGAAGCACTATGAATATGTGATTTTTAATCTTTTCACTCCAAACAGGGCATTAAAGCCACTAAGATACAAGGCCTTGTTGAGCGTGAAAGAACATAAGGAAAAAAAAACATTATTAAGGAGAGAGGACAATAAAAGAAGAGGAATTAAGAAGACAATAGATAACGATTGACACTGCATTTAAATTTTAAAAAATCAAAGTTGGCTGGAAAGCAAGAAAATGGAAGAGAGTTCCACAAGCGAGAAGTGCGAGAGAAGAAACTATTAGCAAAGAACTTATGGTTGCATCTAGATATTTCAACTGTTAAATGATGAGACCTTGTTGCCAATCTAGTACTGTGCTTAAATTCATCAAGTCTAGGTACCAAAGAGGAAAGTTCACCAGAAAAATCACCGTCAAAATATTTATAGAAAAGGCACAGGGAAGCTACGTTACGGCGTTGGGAACAGTGACTAAAGTTGAGATGCCAGGTCAGGATCAATAACATTGCAAATTCTTCTTTGGATGTTATCAAGTTTCTCGAAATATATAGCAGGACCACCAGACCATATGGTACCACGGAGGAAAGTTCACGAGAACAATTACCATGAAAGTATTTATGGATACGGTATAGGGAAGCTATACGGTTTGTATACAGTGATCCCTCGTTTATCGCGGTAGATCGGTTCCGAGACCGGCCGTGATAACTGAATTTCCGCGAAGTAGGGACGCCATATTTACAGTATTTATTTAACGTGTATTTGGACTTTTAAAACCCTCCCTGTACTGTTAACAATCCACCCATTACAGTACTCTATTAATAACAAGGACAACTGTTAAGCAATAACACTTTACATTAAAAAAAAAATAAAGGTTGTTACTGTATTCAACACGAAAGAAGTTGAAGTAGAATTTGAATGATGATGGTGATGAATTTGCTGCGCAGTAGAAATGATGATGAAGCTGATGATGACTTCTACTGTGCAGCCGATAATTGTATTTTACGTCTCTTCGGACGGCGGTGTCCTTTCTATTGCTATTTTACGCTTGATTTGTTGTTCCTAGACAAGGAAATAATATTTATTATTAATATTTTAATGGGTTTAATGACAAATTTTAGGTGTTCATATATCGCGATTTTTCTAGAATTTTCCAGAAACTCCGCGATATAATTTCCATATATATATTTTAAAAATCCGCGAATTAGAGAGGGATCACTGTATTTTGTATTATTCTTTTTTTCAATTAGTTCTGTGTTCCCTACATAGATAGATATAGGTAGATATGAATATACATTAGTCAAGTTCTTACGTTTTGTCAGCTCAATTTTCTATTTTCATTTGATCGCCAATTTTTCGAGTGTAAATCTCTTTTTCAAGATGTTACCGTGGCAGTTTCCGAAAGAATCTCTCTTTTACTCCTGAAGATGGAATAACTGAAACAGTAAATTATGCGATATTCATACGTCGTTCCTTTCCTCGAAATCCATATTCAGACGTGATTATCCACACCCCAGTACATCGATTATACTATCCGGTTCTTTATCGAAAAACCAGTTCTCCTAAAAACGTTTCCACTGGTAATCAAGTGTAAGAGATAATGTTGCCATTGGGAGGGGGGGATTCCATTCTGGTGGTATATAAGAACTTTTTCTTTATCTTGATAATGTAATAATAATAAAAGGTAATAGAACAAATATATCCATTGACATTTTACATGGCTATGTTGAAAATGCTGAAGCTTTTAAAATATTGGAAACACTGAATTATATCTTGTCGCAGAAATATTAGTCTTAACAAGAAAAATACGATGTTAAACCGGGTGAAAAGTTAAGATTTGGAATTTAAACAACATATACCTTGTCGCCAAAATATTCGTTTCAATATGAAAAAAGCAGTCTTTTGCCATAAAGTCTTCGGAAGAGTGGGTGTAATTACGTGAAACTCAATGTAGAGACATAGGATAAGTGGAATAACTATATATATATATATATATATATATATATATATATATATATATATATATATATCGAATCCATTCACTTACGTGCTAATACCCTTGGGAAAGGTGTGAATCCTCTTCTTCTCCCTCCAGCTATGGGTAAATAGCAGGACAGACTGGGTTCTATAGCCTTGGATGGCAACTGGTCTAGGAGAAGTAAAACTCTGAATTCAAAACCTGCGGAGGGTCGTTTGGGGACCTTGTGGCACGTAGTGCACCAGGTCTCTGTATTCGGCCCTTCAAAAAGTGTGGATGGTCCTGCACGAAACCTTCACCACTATAATCAAATCTCATGTCGGGCTGTCAGTTTCCTGGGAACTGATCTGCTTGACCCTCATACGTCGAATTTGACGGGAGAGTCGACTATATATATATATATATATATATATATATATATATATATATATATATATATATATATATATATATTGAACAATAAAAATATTAAATATTTAAAATCTTCAGATACACTGGGTTGTATATTAATATTCTTTCGTTATTATTATTATTTTATTTAGATTTCTCGACTAGTTTCGGCCAATATAGCCATCATCAGGAGAAAAAATTCTGCTTGCTAATGAAATGAATGTCTTGATAGAGAAAATGAACTTTTGTCTGTAGTTTTCATTTGTTTTTTTTATTTTTTCAACATGAATTTTGGTCAGTTCTTGTGTTGGTCAGTCTCTTTTAAGTTGTTATTTGAGATAAGAGCTGGATGGATCCATGCTGCTCTGAATTCCCCTGGTCAGTTTGACAGTTTTATTGGTTCCTGGAAAGGGGATGTGTCTCTGTTAAGTGTGTGTGTGTTATTTGGTTCTTAGGGAGTGAGTGAGTATGATGTGTGTAAGCGTGTATATTACTATGGGTGTGTGTTATCATTTGGCTCATTAGGGAGTGAGTGAGTATGATGTGTGTAAGTGTATATATTCGTGTGGATGTGTGTATAAGTGTGAGGCCTCAACACCTTCGTAAGCATGTCTGTCTTGTGTGGGCGAGAAATATGGGTAGGTTTTGATTTGTAGGGTTACTTTGTATTTGTAGTACTATCTATATTGTTAAATTTGTGGTTTAGCCCGGCTGGATAGTGCGTTTTTAAACGTTGTATCCACTTATTTTCATGGAACTCTATATACTCTCTCTCTCTCTCTCTCTCTCTCTCTCTATATATATATATATATATATATATATATATATATATTTTTTTTCGAAACGAGTCTAGTTATCTAGTTATCTATATATATATATATATATATATATATATATATATATATATATATATATATATATATATATATATATATATTCAGTTGTATGGATATATGAGTTTGTGACCTTAGGTTTCACGCTTTTGAGATCATCAGACAAACTAGTTTATTATTTAACAATTGGATCTATTTATGCTTGTTTGTGTTCGATTATGTTTGATGGTGGGATGAGGGAAATTCTCCTCCGTGTCTGCTTGGAATGGACACTCTCACACGCATAGACAAACATACATATAGGTGTACGCATTTTAGTTCACACAAACACACCAATATAAACAATCCGAGATTAGGCGCAGATACACATTCATCCGTTCGGGCATACATATATACGCAATTGTAATTCTATTTCGGTCGAGCATACATACTCACGCAATACGCAGGCTCACATACGCAGGGTCACAAACTAATATCCATACAACTAAATATGTTAACTCTATCACTGATATTGAGCACTTTCCAATAAGGACTGCGTATATATAGAATAATAATAATAATAATAATATATATATATATATATATATATATATATATATATATATATAGTTTTTCATTTACCTTATGTCTGTCTCTTCATCGATATTAACTTCATAGACAAATTTAAACCAGCACTAAACCCCTACACACACCATACAAAATACACGTAGTTACTGTATAACTTATGTAAGATATATGTAGTTACTGTATAAATTATACAAAATACATGTAGTTACTGTATAACTAATATAAGATACACGTAGTTACTCTATAAATTATACAAGATACACGTAGTTACTGTATAACTTATATAAGATAAACGTAGTTACTGTATAAATTATGCAAGATACATGTAGTTATTGTATAAATTTCTTTATAATAATCTAATATATAGTATATACATATGGAGAATGAATATATTCACACATACTCGCAAAAAGAAACACACTAGATGGACCACACGCACACACACACGAACTCTACACACCATAAAAAATGTGTAGTACATTTATGTAATAAAACAATATATATGTATGGAGAAGGAATATTTATACACATACTAGCAAAAACACACGCACAATAAACAAAAATGGAGAAAGGTTTAAAAAGATACAGACGACATAAAAAGATGAGAACAAAGACCCCCTTCCTTCCCTTTTTCTCTGACCAATCCTAATTATTTTATTACCCCTTGAGCAAAAGAATATTTTCCGCCCGTTCAAGAAGAATTTAGATTACAACCACACACAAAAGACAATGGTTAAACATGAGAAAACACAAGAAAAAAATAATTTCTTTAAATGATATGTGGAAATAACCATTTTTCGTTTGATGAATGACACGAACACGTGTTGCAAAAATAGGGAAGATAAAGTATAAAAATCATTTGGTATACCCCCACCCCGTTCAACCAAATGGTTAGTATTAAGCTAAGACAGAAATTCCTACCTTTAATTGAAAAACACTTTCCTACTAATAGTAGACTTAGTAAAATATTTAATAAAAACACCCTAAAATTAAGTTACAGCTGCACTGAAAATCTAGAAAGTATAATAAAAAAAAAAAAACAATAATAAAATCCTGAATAAACCCCCATGCCAGAATAGTATTAACAAAAACCCTACACTTAAATTAGACAAAAATAGTGAAAAAATATGTGATTGTAGAAACCCAGAAGACTGCCCATTGGAAAATAAATGCCGCGTAAAATCTGTGGTATACCAATCTCGTCCATTGAGAGTCCTAATACTAATATGATATACATCAGACATCTAAATATTTTTGGTATTTGAAGGAAATGAATAAAACACCAAAAGTAAAATGGAAAATTATAAACAAAACTAGAACTTGTAAAACTTGGGATGACCCATGCCCTTTATGCCTACATGAAAAACTACACATTATTAAGTTTCTAAATAATAAAAATCTATTACACAATAGACATGAGTTAACGGTTTTTTGCCGACATCATCAAATTTTCGCATTAAATAAATGCATAAATAAACAAACAATAAAATAATTTTTAAATTCCATAGTCAAAATAAATAGTTTAAATGCCCTATAAAAAAAAAAGATAACACTTTATGAAGTCAAAAAAAAACAAATGTTAGCGACTTATGACGTTTTTTTATATACACAAAACCCTTTCAGAAAAAATAAAAAATAAAAAAATAAATAAATCTCCATAGATACTTAACCAGACTAGACGATGTCATCTTCCGCTTTAAATTTAGACACCCCAACCTTACCCTGACTTGACGTCTTTGAATGTAATTGAGATATTGATACAAATTATTAACCCTTACGCACCCTTTCTTTAAACAATTGCTCTAGCCTTTACCATAGTAATTTTATTTTCAATAATGAATATGCATATAAAACCCGTAAATTTCAAAAATAAGTTATTCCAAAAAAAATTTCGCTTGAAGATGGAACAGAGCTTGGTACTTTAATTCAATTTAATTCAAATAATTATATTGAAGTTGTCGGCTCTTGTTTTGAAACATGAAAACTCTTATGTAGCGTTGGAATCATATTTTAAATAAATAATTATATATATATATATATATATATATATATATATATATATATATATATATATATATATATATATATAAACATACATCATAACCAAAAAGGTTTGTGGGTTCTCTTTACACTTTATATATATATATATATATATATATATATAATAAATCTTATATATATATAATCTTATCTTATATATATATATAAATAAATAAATATATATAATCTTATCTTATATGTATATATAAATCTTTACCCCCCCCGCTGTTCTTGTGTTTTTTTTTTTTTTCTTTGGTCACGTGGTATGATTTTAATTATCGCCTATAAATACGCTGTTTCTCTTTTGCCTCTTTAGCCAGCTTTCCCTGACGATCCGCTTAGGTGAAACCTGGGTAGGTTTGTCTGGATCACTAGGTTGATCTATCTATCAATCTATCTATCAATCTATCTCTCTCTCTCTATATATATATATATATATATATAATGCTAATCAACAATACCAAAATTCTCTACAAAAACAATTGCAAAAAACGCTCACAAAATCTTGAAGCCATCACAATTAAAAACCAAAAGCCCAAATAAATAACATAGGATTTAATGCTGATACAAACATCTTAAACATATTTAATAACTAATCCTCCAAATAATAAATATCTATTCCCTCCCAATTGCTAATGAGCTAATCCAACAACACTGGCTGAATACCCGAAAATATTATCTATAAAAAATAAAAAAAGTAACTTACTTCAAACCAAAAACATACAGCCATGATGACATTGACGACAACCGAAAGCGCTCGGCAAAAAAAAAAAAAAAAAAAAAAAAAAAAGTAAGAAAAAATAAAGACTGGGGTCTTTTTTTTTCAACAATTTGATAACACAGCAATATATATATATATATATATATATATATATATATATATATATATATATATATATATATATATATCACACTGAAGAGCTGTGATACAGCGAAACGCTCTTTGGATGACAATATATATGCTCCTGGGAAATCCGGTTGAGCTCTCTTGAAAAAAAGGGGAATTTTAAAAACTGGCTCATACTGCTATTAACACATTGCTCTTCTGTGGGAAATTTGTCCCGGCTTTCCCACATGAGAGGGTCGAGGTTAAAAAATTGCGACAAAAATCGAATAAAAACAGCAAGATTAGAGCGAACAGACTCTCTCTTTTAGGTTAACGAATAAAGAAAGACACAAAACTCCTGCTCGGTGTGTATAAAAGAAGAAAGTGTTTATTTAAATGTACAAAAAAAAAAAAAAAAAAAAAAAAAAATAAAGGGATAAACACAATTACGAGAGAAAGATAGGGAAAAGAAAAAGTCCTTTAACTTTAAAAGAAGAGAAAATGTTCATAATAGAAAAACAAAAAAGGCTTGCACAAAATATTTCTCTGAGCGCCTAAAAGTTCTTTAAGCGAGTAGATTGTTGTTAAGGATCAAAACACTCTCAGTGTTCTTCAGAATTCTTGCAGGGTAGGAAAATGTCGGTGGATACGAAATTGTGTACTTGAGTGTGTTTACGGGTCGACGACAGAAGTCTTGTAGGTCAAAGGGGGCAGCTTTCAACTGGTCTTTAATAGTGGGCCGACGTTCGTTCTCGACAGTCAATAGTAGATAGTTCTTTCTTGGAGATGACAGCGAAGATGACTGCTGGTGTTTCCGTCTCCGACCTTTCTTGTTCCACAGACGATTGACAATTACTCATTACCAAATAGGCGAAGATTCTCCAAATTTATGAAGATTTATGGAGGCTCAGAATTTTCCCTCCAAAATTGTTATACAAATTCCTGGCCCCTTCATTGGCTAGAAAATATATTCTTATCTCTGATAAGAATCAGGGTCTTGGGAGCTGCAACAAGCTGTGAGGTTTCCCCCAGACTTTATGGCACCATGGAAAGAATAATGGTGGTGGAATTCCTTTTTATATATTTCCAGCTCTCTCGTTACTTAGAAAATATATTCTTATCTCTGATAAGAATCCAGGCTTTGGGAGCCGGAGTGAAGATTGGAAAATAGGCTAGTATGTGAACTTGTAAAATATTGTATTCGTGGTTCTCAAATTAAATTCTAATACTTCAATTGAATTGAGCTCTCCGAGCCACTGACGTATTTCGTATAGAGAACGTTAAAATTTCCCTTTCTCTCTACTGTGAGACGATAGCCTAAGCGTAGGATCTCTGACTGATGCCGAATCGGTCGGGTTTCGATCCCGGCTTGAAGCAATCGGACGTCTAGCCACACTGAAGAGATGTGATACAACGAGAGAGTCTGTCTGTGGATAACAATCTATATCTATCTATATGTTATAAGAGAGGTGGGATGATTGATGGTATGTTCCTTTTGAAGATAGTCAATAAACTTTATGAGTTTTGCATCCCCAAATCTGGTGCCATCACTTTCCCTGAAGATGAAACGACCTTTGGCTTTTATTGAAGCAGGTGAGGAGAGGTGTTTCCACTGCATGGATTGTCTCTTTGTCTCTGGTCATAAGTGATGAACCCAACACTCATCCTGGGTTATGAAACATTCAAGGAAACCAAGTGGATCTACTTAAAACAATGTCAAATTTTCCTGCGATGTGATCAGCCTGGTGCACTTTTGATCAGGTACCAGAAGACGTGGCACCCACCGAGCTGAAACCTCCGTTATGCCAAGATTATTCTCAACTCTCTCACGGGATATGCTAATAGCATTTGCTATTTGATTTATAGTCAATCACCATATGATAAACATAATGTCTTCTTCGGTGTTTGCAGTTGCATGACATCTAGACTTTGTGTTATCAAGTCTTCGAGGCTCTTCCTTCATCATCATCAAAATTGTTTTGATTTGAGGTCATGAATTAGCATGTTCTCTCATCTTCAGTGACATTGTATACTGATTCGACAATATTGAAATAGGTGATTTGTCTCTGGCCCAAATTTATGAATCCAAGAGTCATCCTGGGTTATGTAACATTCAAGGAAACCAAGTGGATCTACCTAAAACAATATCAAAATTTCCTGCGATGTGATCAGCCTGGTGCACTTTTGATCAGGTATCAGAAGACGTGGCACCCGCCGTTATGCCAAGTTTATTCTCAACTCTCTCGCGGGATATGCTAATAGCATTGGCTATTTGATTTATAGTCATTCACCATGTGATAAACATAATTAATGTTTTCTTCAGTGTTGGCAGTTGCAGGACGTCCAGACTTTGTGTTATCAAAGACTCTCTCTTCATCATCATCAAAATTGTTTTGATTTGAGGTCATAAATTGACATGTTCTCTGATCTTCAGTGACATTATTTCATGATTCGAGAATATTTTGCCAGACTTCTCTGTCATCTGCCAGTTTGCGGATTCTTTGCAGATCTTCCTTGATTGTAAACTTCTCCAAAGGAAAAGGGAGATTTTTCTGTCTTGTTCTTTGAATGTCTCGGTTCAACGTTGTGACTATGGTGCTTCTTGGATGACCTCTGAACTTTCTGAAGTCAGTCTTTTCAAAGTAAAACTCCATGACTTTGTTAGTTGGGCATTCTTGTTCCATTCTGTTTTGTATTCGTATGTTTTTTTTTCATGAACATTGAAGTGTATTACAGACACACGGGCTGACACTTTACAACATCAATGTACATTATTCCTCCATTTACTCTTGACAACAAATCCGTTTCCATAATGTTTGCATTAAGTCTTTAAACATATCAGCTGGTGTTTGTTTTTGCCGATGTTACTGTTCAGACTAGGTCCAAATTTTTATTTTCATTTTCTCTCCTAAATTAAGCTGCCCACTTTTGCCCCGTTGATAAAGATGGAGTGTCATCTCCCTATGTAGTATTAATTTTCATGAGTGTCAAACCCTTTTCTGCAGGTACTTGATAAAACCACGATGCCAAAATTTGTCCATTTTCAAGAGAAGTCGCTACCAGTTACTTTTGAAATCGTCTTTGAACAGTCAGATATCTGTTTACCTGGAAAGAAACAATGCAGTTATCAGTAAGGGGAGTTTAAATTAATGCATGCAAGATTTCACAACTCTAGCATCACTTCTTCGTAGTCAGCCTATGAACTTTTCATCCCATCCTCGTACACTTGAAATTGCTAGATGTAACCGTAAGTTCTATGATAGCAGTTTCTTCCCTCACACGTCTCGCTTGTGGAACTCTTTTCCGGCTTCTTGCTTTCCAGTCAACAGGAAAAAAATTAAATGCAATATCAATCGTTATCTTCCATCTTCTTAATTCCCGTTCTCTCATTGTTCTCTCAGTATCTGTTTACACAGATGTCCTCAAGGACACATGGCACAGTGGATAAAGGCGTTAGTTAGATCCAGTGACAGGACCCAAAGTGTGTGAGTCCAATACCTGGTTAAGGCGGTGGAGAACTTGGAGAGGGGAAATAACAGGAGATAACTGATAATTGACATCCATCAGACATGGCACGTAGAACAATCTACCCCAGCGAGCGAAATAAAGGGTTCAGCTCGACATTCCAACCACCTGAAAAAGGCTGGAGCTTACAACGGCCGAAACGTTGTGATCAATATAGCAACAAAGATGAGGACGATAATCCGAACAATGTAAATAGTGTCTTATTGTTCTCTCCATCATTCCATCCATAATAATCCCCAGCCCGTTTTCCATCCCCTCCATCCTCTCCCCTGTAAATTAATCCATCCCACTTTTGCACCGTTGACAAAACTGGAGTGTCATCTCCTTATGTAGTATCTATCTATCTATCTATCTATCTATCTATCTATCTATCTATCTATCTCCATCCATCCATCCATCCATCTATCCATCTATCTATCATCCTATCTTCATCTCCATCCATCCATCCATCTATCTATCTATCTATCTCATCCATCCATCCATCCACAACCATCTCCATCTATCTATCTATCTCCATCTATCCATCCATCCATCCATCCATATCTATCTATCTATCCATCCCATCCATCCATCCATCCATCCATCCATCTCTATCATCTATCTATCTATCTATCTATCTATCTATCTATCCATCCATCTCCATCCATCCATCCATAATCTATCTATCTATCTCTCCATCTATCCATCTATCTATCATCTATCTATCTATCTATCTATCATCTCAGCCTGTTCATCCATCCATATCTATCTATCTATCAGCCTGTTCATATCTATCTATCTATCTATCCATATCTCATCTATCCATCCATCCATCCATCTATCTCCATCTATCATCTCTCATCTCAGCCTGTCTCATCCATCTATCTATCTATCTATCCATCTATCCCTGTCAGCCATCTCTATCCAATCTATCTCATCCTGTTTCCATCCATCCATCATATCTATCTATCCATCCATCCCAGCCTTTCATAATCCATCTATCCATCCATCCATCCATCTATCTATCTATCCATCTATCTATCTATCTATCCCAGCCTGTTCATAATCTATCCATCTATCTATCATCCCATCTATCTCCATCCATCTCTATCTATCCATCTCCATCCCCAGCCTGTTCATAATCCATCTATCCACTCTATCCATCCATCATCCATCCATCCATCCATCCATCCATCCATCCATATCTATCTCCATCCATCCTGTCCATCCATCCATCATCCAGCCTGTTCATAATCATCCATCCATCCATCCATCCATCTATCCATCCATCCATCCATCCATCCATCTATCCCATCTATCCATCCCTGTTCCATCCATCCATCCATCCATCCATCCATCCATCTATCATCCATCCATCCATCTATCCTATCTCATCTATCCCCCGTTCAGCCTGTTCCATCTAATCCATCTATCCATCTATCATCCATCCATCCATCTATCCATCCATCCCTATCCATCCATATCTATCCATCCATCCATCCATCCATCCATCCATCTATCCATCTATCTATCTATCTCAGCCCCGTTCATTATTCCATCATCTATCTCCATCTATCCATCATCCATCTATCTATCTGATGGTTCATATCTATCTATCTCATCCATCCATCTATCATTCATCTATCTATCTATCTATCTATCTAGCCATTATGAATATTCATTATCTATCTCTATCTATCTATCTATCTATTCATATCTATCTATCATTATGAAATATCTATCATCTATCTATCTATGATGGTTCATATCTATCCATCCATCTATCTATCTATCTATCTATCTATCTCTATCTATCTATCTATCTCTATCTATCTATTCTCCATTCTCTCTATCCATTCTTGTAACGGCATTCACCCGGGGTGGGTTGATCCATCTCCAATATTGAGTTTCATGGGAATTTGAATTCCATCTATCTAAGCGGTCCCCAAACCTCCATCCATGTATAGTACATGAGATTTTGATTATATTGGTGAAGGTTTCATCCATCCAGGACCATCCATCCATTTCTTTTGAAGGGCCGATTATCAGAGATCCTGGTGCACTCCATGCCACAAGGTCCCCAAACGACCATCTCCGCAGGTTTTGAATTCAGAGTTTTTCCTTCTCCTCCAGACCAGTTGCCATCCAAGGCTAAAGAACCCAGTCTGTCCTCTATCTATATTTACTATCCATATCTATCCATCTATCTATCCATCCCAGCCCGTTCAATGATCCATCCATAAATGGATTCGACTGGAATTCGAACTCGGCTCCATCTCCGATTCCTCAATCCAACAGCCGCCATCCATTATCTCCACCGTGCCTCCTTTATCTATCTCTATCTATCTATCTATCTAGTGTTCATTATCTATCTATCTATCTATCTATCTATCTATGCCTATATCCCTAATCACGAATAAATGATAGACTAGGTTTTAGAAGCATCGTATTGTTTCACTTTCAACGACATCTTTACGTCTTAGTGGTTTTATTGCCTTTCTTGGGGTGAACTGAATGATTAAAAAAACTATGGTATCTAGAAAAAGATAAAGATTATAAAAGTCCTAATGTAGATTCTACATTAGGACTTTTAAAATTTATTCTCTTTAATGGCGTACATATAAAAGTATCCACCACACGCGCGTATACACAGAAGAGGACTTTAATTCTAGAGTTATCAAGAACTGCACTCACAAATTTCGTCACGCTTCATGTTGTTACTGACTTCAGTTATCGTTGATATTAAGGCAACCATCTTAAAGCAACAAGCATCTGATATTGCAAAAAGAAAAAAAAAAGATAAAAACCGACACACTTACATAAAGGTACGCGATATACTGTTTTCGCACGTAAGATTTCCGCGGCGCGCTATTCGAGAGACAGGCAGGCGCATGCGTATTTAGCGTGTCATCAATTGCAACCTGTCTCACACGGCTACTGCAAAGGCGGGAACACGTTTTTGGAGACGAGGCTAAGTTTTTACAAAGTGGAGATAAATGGCTTGATATTTGCTGGATGGATTAATATCAGAAAATATCTGAAAGGGACCGACAAAAAAAAAAAAACAATAACCAAAAAAAAAAAAAAAATAAAAAAAATAAAAAAAAATAAAAAAATAAAAAAATAATAAAAAATAAATAAATAAAAATAAATAAATGGATGAGGCCTCTTTATTTCTTTGGAATCAATCGAGTGCTTTTATTGAGGAATTGGTGATTTGAACTCACTTCTGTTCCGGTGACTCGGGAGAAAGTGACAAAGAAAACGCAGACGTTTTCGAAAGATACGGAGACACAAATAGAGAGACACACGCAGATAGAGTTAGTTGAGAGAACCATCTTAAAAAACAAGCATCTGGGAGTGAGAGAAAGAGAGAAGGAGAGAGTGTGTGTGTGTGAGAGAGAGAGAGAGAGAGAGAGAGAGAGAGAGAGAGAGATGTTGCGCTTGTGGCCGACGCTGGCAATTTGGATGTTCCTGACAATTTATCTGAGCCTGAAATCGAAAATTAAAAAAAATCCTGAAAAAAAGGTAAGGTGATACGTTTTCTTCATCTCCTTGCAACCATTCCCTTTTTTCTTTCTCTTTTTTTTTTTACACACATGGACACGTACACACACACACTATCTCACGCGCACACACACTCACTTTCTCACATGCGCGCGTGCACTTATACACCGCTCGCTCACTTTCACACACACACACACACACACACACACACACACACACACACACACACACACACACACACACACACAGAGTCTCTTTATCACTCTCTCCTTTTTTCTACGCTATTTAAGTATTTTAAATTTTATGATATACACATAATCTATGATGCTCATTATCTGTCACTTCATTATCTATATATATATTTATCTATGACCGTTCATTATCTATCTATCTATCTATCTATCTATCTATCTATCTATCTCAGTTTGTTCATATCTATCTATCTATCTATCTATCTATCTATCTATGAGTGTTCATTATCTATCTCAATCTGTTCATATCTATCTATCTATCTATCTATCTATCTATCTATCTATCTATCTATCTATCTATGCCTATATCCCTAATCACAAATAAATGATAGACTAGGTTTTAGAATGAAAAGAATTTGATGTTTATGTTTATAAAACACTTTATTTGAAGCATTTTGCATTACTTCGTTCCGCTGAAAAACATAACTCACATCATCAAACGAAACTTAATTGCAAACATCAATTAACGCATCGACTGCGCGCAACGAGAACTGACCACTAATTCAACATATACGTGAAGTAGAGCATTGATCCTTAATTGTAGATGTTGTTGATTAAATTTATGATAAATACCCTAAAATTTTATTAAGAAAATGCATGAAGATTTTCTTTGGGAGTAGGGAGCAATTACTGAAAAGTTCTCATCACAACCAATAAATGAAAAAAAGAATTCTGGTGTGTGGATATCTATCTATCTATCTATCTATATATATATATATATATATATATATATATATATATATATTCAGCTTTCGAGAAAGTAGGTTGAGCCAAGAACTTTTCATGCTAACCTCGACGGGAGTGACTCATTGCACCTTCTCTGGGTAACATTCACGGCTGACAAGAAGTGGAAAAACTATATTGAATCCATTGCTAAGAAAGTTGGTTCATTGTGTTGTACTTGACAATTTTTCTCTCCAAAATCTATCTTACACATTTACAGGGTGCGATGGGTAAATTGTCGTCGTTTTATATTTTTAATTTCGTGCATGCGCGTTGTTTGTTCTTGATTTTATTTTTTTGGGACTGCACGGTATAGTAGGGCCAGTTGGGCACCATCTGTGAGAAAAAGTGCACCATGATGCAATTGACTCCGCCAGAAATTTGGAAATGGCATGCTGCACTGCTTGACATTCGCGACAGAAGCTCCAATACGAACATTTCAGAGTGCAGAGGATTCGGAAAACGTTTGATGAGTCTAATGGTGATTACGAAGGTACGGCAGCTGGTAAAACTCACTCTGGTCGTTCTGATAAAAGAACTCCCGAATTTGTTGGTGAGGGCCTCAGACTCAACGCGGAGGCCTACATCAAGTGCCTTGAGGAGGTAGTGCTGCCCTGGGTCAAGAGGGTGGCTGCTTGAAGACCCTATGTCTGACAAAAGGACTCTGCACCATGCCACACAAGCAGGAGAACCCAGTCATGACTGTCAGACAATTTCTGCAACCACATCACCCCTTACATCTGGACACCTAACTACCCAGACTGCAACCCCCTTGATTATTATGTGTGGGCGTGAGAGACCACCAAACCCACTTTTAATACCAAAGATGAACTGAAAGCAAGGATTATGGCATCATTCATCAACTTAAGCACATAGATCGTCCAGAAGAGTTGCAGGAGATTCCGAAGTCGTCTGGAGGGCGTGGTTGAAGAAAATGGCGATTTTATTGAATAAATTTACTTTTTAGTATTTCAAGATATTTTTTGTGTAATTTTGGTAAATATATCTGTTAAAATGACATGTCAATGTTATTTTCATTTTTGCGTAATTTAGACGACAATTTATTCATCGCATCCCCATCATATGATTTACTGCTTCTGCTATAAATTTAAGGATTCTAGAGAAAATCCAAAAGAGAATCAGCGCTATTATTGTTCCTGACATGGCGTCTTTGCTTCAATCAATTTCCTACCACCGTAAATTTGCTTCCCTGTGACTTTTCTAAAAACACTTTCATGGCAACTGTTCGAATGAGCTCTTCTTGATGATATCTAGACTTTATGAATTTAAGCGCAGTGCTAGATTGGCAGCAAGGTCTCATAGAAATGAGTCGGATCGATGTAACCGGAAGTTTTATGCTAACAGTTTCTTTTCTCGCATTTCTCGTTTGTGGCGATCTCTTCCAGTTCCATGCTTTCCAGTTAATTTTGCTCTTAAAAAATTTAAATGCAATGTTAATTGTTATCTTCTGTCTTCTTGATTACTCTTCTATTGATTTTGCTCTTTAGTAATGTTTCTGTTTTCTAATTCTTTCATGCCTAGCAACCCGATGTAACTTAGTGGCTTTATTGCCTTGCTTGGGGTAAATCCGATTAGAAAATAAATTGTCCGCGTTCGTATCCTGACAAAGATGACAATTCTGAAAGTTGTTTTTTAGAGACCAAAAAAAAAAAAAAAAACCAAAATCTCTGCTAATCAACGGATTCACTGACTTCTAAAATCCCAATAAAAATGTTCATAACTTAATGAGGAATGAAAACCATGTAATTTTGTGAAATGCTTAAACGGTGGAATCGTTAATGGGGAGATTAAATTCATGAATGCATAAATTCCATGAAGAACTTTCTGATCTATCAAATTTTGGACTTACTGAATAACTAATGATAAAAATTTCTTTAATTATTAAAAAAGAAAAAAAACTACGAAAAATTAAAGCTCTAAATCCAATTTATATAATCTAATCTAAATAACAAATGCGAATGTCAGTGTTTCACACTTTTTCAACTTTACTCCTAAATGCCGTACCCCAACATATCATACCATTTTGGAATCAGGCCGACTCCGTGAGCAAATTAAAAAACATTCCGGTTCGGATCCGGACCCGCAATCCTGAAAATTTTGGATTCCCAAGTTTTTATTAATGCGATTGTTTTAGGATTCCGCCATCTTGGCTTCTACTGATACAAACAATTAAAGGGACACAACTCTCTAATTTTCAATAGCTCATGTTCAAAAGAAAAATACTTTTCTCA